GCTTACACAGCACGTTGATGATGTAGTCGCTTCGCTGATGCACTGGGACCCTCATCTTGACGGGCATGTGCGGCGACGTGTTGTACCCTTCTTGGACTTCTGCCTTGAGCGCGTGTGCAACCAGGCCGCGCGAGACGATGAAGTAGTCCCGCGTGCTCCTCGTGCCATCTTGCTTCAGGCAGCTGCCCTGCTGCGTGTCTCTCACGATGGTGTCATTCATCTTGCGGACGATCTCTGACTGCTCCAGCATCTCTGGGTCCATGTTGAAGTCGCCGCCGAGGATCCACTCCTTCTGGATCGCGTCCACGGTGGCGCCCCACTTGGCCAGGATGCGCTGGTTCCTCTGCGTGAGGCCCTCGCTGTTCCACAGGTACGCGGTACCTAGCACGAGCCCCTCCTTGCTGTAGGCGTCGACCCAGGCCACGGCGAGTCGCCCCGTGGACTCTCGCGGGCTGATGTCCCACCTGGTGAATCCCATTGCGCACGAAGTCCATGCCCCTGCTTCGTGGCGTCGCTATCAAAACTCCAGCACTGTGACCCGCCTTGGTCTTCGCGCTGCTCACTACCCCGGTGTTCCAGCCCTCCTTGCGCATGCGGGTCTCGAACAGGTCGAGCTGCGTGCCGCTGGCCTGCAGCTCCTGGCCCAGGACGATGGCGTCCTGGTCGTTGTCCCTGATCTGCTTCATCACTCGCTCAAGCGACTTCAGAGTCGCGCCTTTGGGCAGCGGTGGTTGGTTCCGCCGCTACCCCCGCTGCTGAACCCACTGGGTTTTGCTGATGGTGAGGGCGTGGCCAGTCTGCAGCTCGCCCATCAGCAGCTTAAGAGGAGCCGCCACCTTGCCAGCCTGATCTGGCGTGACCCCCACGTCGACGAGCGCCTTGCAGATGTCCTGCTCGCTGGCGCCTGCGGGGATCTCGAGGAGGGCCTCCTTGATGGGGCTCTCGGGGCAGCTGCGCTTGCGGTTGTCAGCGCTGCCTGCCCTCTCCTTGGCGGCGCGAGCCTGCTCCGCCCTGGCCTTCTGCTGGAGGCGCTCCGCGTGCTGCTTGGCCCTCTCCTCTTCCAGTGCCTTCTGCTCCTTGGCGTGGGCGACCGCGGCGACGAGCTGCTCACGCTTCTCGCTCTCGTCGTCGTCGACGCAGCGCTCGGCCTGCTCCATGAAGGCGAGCGCTGCCGCCCATCCCTTCCCTGGGGCGGGGACGGACAGCTCCTTGATCTTCTTGTCCAGGGTCTCGAGCTTGCTGTCGAACTTGCCCGGCTTGCTCTGCTCGTCGGCGAGCTTCTCGTCGAGCGCGTCTCTCTGTTCCTTGAGCGCGTCGATCCTATGCTGGCACTTGTCTTTCTGCGCTGCGACCCTGTTCCTGTCTCGCACCACTCTGCATTCGGTGAAACAGCGCGGTACCCCCGTCTCCAATGATGCCTGCTCGGCGGCGAGCTTGTCCTTGAGCTGCGCCACCTGCGGCTGCAGGGGCTCCTCCAGGAACGGGTCCTTGGCGAGTTTCCTGAGCTCAACCAGCTTGGCACGGTAGTGCTGCACCTTGGTGAGCTTCTCGTCGTGGCTTTTGTCCCCGAGGGTCTCTCCTGCCGCCGCGCTGGAAGATCCTGCGGCTGCTGCGGTCGGGCGTGCACCCCAGCACTTCCAGCAGTATTTGTACTTGGCTCCGTTCTTGACGTTGCACGGTTCGCACCGCCACGTCGTGTTGTTGCTGCCATTGCTGCTGGCAACCATCCGTTGGCTCCGACACTCGTGGCCACTCTGAAGTCTGAGCGTCGTACACTCGGGGCCTCCTGCAGGCGAAGGGGGCGCGACCGAGCGCAAAATGGCTGCGGAGGGGGAGGAGGGGGAGGGAGAGGGGGAGGAGGAGGGGGACGCCCAGCCCCGCGCCCCGCTGCTTGCACCACGATCCTGACAGCCACCCCCCATCCCTGCACACCCTCCGCCTGCCCCGCCCGGTCAGGGATCGCCCTCGATCAACGTCCCCGACACCCTTCCGACGCCTTCCCCGACGCCCGTCTCGACGCCCTTCTCGACGCCCCGCCCCGCGCCCAGCCGCTTGCACGACGATTCTGACAGCCACCCCCCATCCCGGCACACCCTCCGCCTGCCCCGCCCTAGTCGGGGGTCCCCGTCGTGGTGCCCGCAGCCGCGCCGCGGTCGGCGGGTTTTTCCCCCAGCCCTTGGCCCGGTCCGCCTGATTGCGCCCCTGGCCTGGTCCGCCTGATTGCGGCTGTGCCCCCCTCCCTCCCTCCTCGTCCCCAGACCCCCTCGGGCAATGAACAAAAATCATGGCGGGAGGTGTTTTGTTACGTCCGGCCTATGGGGGCCCTTCTATGCCGCCCCTCGAGAGCGTCAAAACACGGCTCAGGATGAAAAGCCGGTCCAGGGGCATGGGTCGAGACATCCGGGGCCCCGCATTGAACAAATCATGACGTTGGGGGTCTGGGTCATCCTCCCGTTTGTTCTTCCCTTTTCCTCCTGCTCTTGGCCTGCTGTCTTCGCCTGGCCCCCGCTCCCGCGTGCCCGCCCGCCCGGCCGGCCCCGACCTCCCGCCTGCGCGTTTCGGGCCGGACGAAGGGGGGGGGGGATAGGGGGAAAGGGGGGGTACGAAATCTGCTGCACGCAGCTGGTTTCGGACCTACCGAGGGGCCCACTCCTCGATACATGGCCGCCTCCGGTGCCGGGAGGCGCCGGGAGAATCGGGTATACGTGAGCTGATTCTCCCCCCCCCCCCCCCTCTGCTATCCCCCCCTTTCGCCCAGCCCGAGCGCGAGCACGGGCAGCACGGCCTGTCTGGGACTCGCGTGGTGGCGCGCCGATTCCCACTTGGCGCGCACACCTTGCCTCTTTCTCCTCCTCCTCCTCGTGCTCCTCCTCCTCGTGCTCCTCCTCACCCTCCTCCTCCTCCTCCTCCTCCTCCTCCTCCTCCTCCTCGCTTCCTTCCAGGCATCGATAAGTACGAAGCCACCTCGAACCTCTTGCGCGGCGGCCAAGCTGCAGTAGGCTCCAATGTCATTTCTGTGGTGATGCACGCGCCCTGCCTGGGTCCTCGGGTTCGCTCTCCCGTGCGGTCTAATCGGTTTCTGGGCTTGTTCCTCAATCAGTGTTTGCAGTGAGGGGGTCCTGGCAGATGTTGAGGAAATGTGCGCACATTCCAGACCGATGTCGGTGGGCTGCGCTCGGGGTTGGGTTTTTTGTTGGCGGGAAGGTTCTTGTTCCATCCAGTGGATGGCTGAATTGCCAGGTTCCAAGAGCAATGCGAGAGTACGTACAGAGATTCGGGAGTAGAGAAAGTAGGCATAGCAGGTGACCCTCCGAGCTGGGGCCCCTTGAGCCGTTAGCGGCCGCGTCGCGTGAGGCACGAGGGGGGAAGGCGGGAGGGACTGACCGGCCTCTGGCCACAGAGATGGCTGACCAGCCAGCACCGCTGCTAGACGGTCATGGTGGCTGGCATGGGCGGTTCTTGTTATAGCAGGTGGCAGTCCGACCATGGTTTGGACATGCCTCTTGTGGCACTGAATGCGCTGAAGAAGGGGGAAGGGGGGAGGGGGAAAGGGCGATGGGTGGGAGGAGAAGGAGGAAGAGGAAGAGGAGGAAGTGGAGGAGGAAGAGGAGGAGGAGGAGGATTAAAGGAATGAGGAAAAGGAGGACGAGGGGTGGGGTGGGTGGAAGAGGAGGAGCAACATCAGCACAAGAAGCAGGAGCAGGGAAGGATGAGGGATGAAGAGGGGGCAGGGAAGGGAGGATCCTGTAGTTTCCCTGTGCGCCTTCGTGTTCATCCCACGGGTGACGGCGGGTTTTATCAGGCTGCCGCTCCTTGTCTTTGACGTCGTGGAGGGACTCCCGTGACCGTTGATCGTCATTCTCCATTGCGTTCCGCTCCTCAATTATGGCGCCGGTTGGGCTCAGCATAAAAGTGCTCGCACCGTGCGTCGTAGATTCCCATGGCGCGCCGACAGCGATGACGGCGGCGACAGCGCCGACGAGGCATGTGGTTTGGCGGCCGTGCAGGCGGGAACAGAAGAGGCTTAGGTGGGGGGGGAGTGGAAGCGTGGCAGGAAGAAAACGTGGAGGAGAAAAATGAGGAGGCAGAAGAGGAGGACGAAGAGAATGAGGAGGACAGCGCAAGGGGATGGAGCCAGGGATGGGGGCGAGGAGCCGGATGACGAGCATTGAGATGGTGAGAACGATGAGAAGCAGAAGGAGGAGTGGGAGGAGGAGGAGGAGGAGGAGGAGGAGGAGGAGGAGGAGGAGGAGGAGGCGGGGGAGGAGGAAGAGCAGCATGAACAAGAACATTGTTTGCAGGTGGAGAGGCACGACCTTGAGCGGCTGCCCCCGTCAGTTTAAGCTCGTGAAGGAGAAGGAGGAGAAGGATGAGGATGAGGAGGAGGAAGTGGAGACGGGGTAGGAGGTGGAGCAGGCGGGAGTGCAGGTGGGGCGGGGAAGGGAGGAGGAGGAGGAGGAGGGAGGAGGAGGAGGAGAGGAGGAGGAGGAGGAGGAGGAGGAGGAGAGGGAGGAGGACGAGGAGGAGGGGAGGAGGAGGAGGAGGGGAGGAGGAGGAGGAGGAGGAGGAGGAGGAGGAGAATGATCCAAGATTATCAGAGATTCTCGATTCATCCTCACCCGATGCTATACTCGTCCTGGCCACGTGCCAGAGGAGCAGGAGGGAGGAACGGGAACAGGAGGCAGAGGCGGAGTTCGGAGGCGGAGGGGCGGTGGAGGCAGAGGAGAAGGATGAGGAGAAGACGGAGGAGGAGGACGAGGAGGAGAAGGATGAGGAGGAAGAGGAGGACGAGGAGGAGGAGGAAGAGGAAGAGGAGCAGGAGGAGGAGGAGGGGGAGGGGGAGGAGTCGGAGGAGGGAGAGGGGGGAAGAGGGGGAGGGGGGAAGAGGAGAACGAGGACGAGGATGAGGATGAGGCCAATTCACCGACCGCCCTCCCAGTTTTGTCGTGATTTGTAACGCCCGTTGCTTTACGCTGGCTGTTAACCGGCGGCGTCGCCGTGGTGCGCACACCCATGAGGCTCGAGGAATGTGATGAGTTTGTTTAACATATTTGTTGTTGTTTAGCTTCCGTTGGCGTCCAGACGCGTTTGGACTCTAGGGACGCTCCGAGGATCTGTACGAAGCGGGTCGAGTCCAGGCCGATGTTGTGCAGCAAGTGGTCATCCGTTGCAGAATTTCCGTGACTCTACGCATTAGGCTGGTTGATCAAAAGGGGTCTGGAACGTGTGTCATGCGGCTCCTCCGCCTGTGCGGTTGAGAAAGGTATGGAGAACACGATCACTCAGTGTGGATGTCACCATCTGTTGCCCATCCGTCCTTCCCCTTCTCATCTCGTTCTGTCTTCCCGCCAGTTCCAGCGCGTCGCCAATGTGTACTTCCTCCTGATATCCGTGCTCGTGCGCCACGCTCAGCTGGCCGAGGAGGAGGTGAAGGGCAGAGGTGGAGGAGGGAGGGAAGCAGGACTTAGTAACTGATTGATGACACTTATCGGCCAAGTGCCGAAAACCCTAATCTAAAGGATCATGAGTTTCATCGGGCAACGTCCGAAGACCTGGTCTGGAAAGAGCGAGAAGGAGAAGAAACGGACGGGGCTGGGACGAGGGTGATTCCGTTCCAGAGCGTTCCGGGGGGCTCAGAGAGTTCGGGAAGGCTCTGAGAAGCCCGCGGCGCCCGAACCATCTTCCAGATCCGCCAAATCTCAGAGATCTTCGATTCATCACCACCCGATGTTATTCTCGTCCTGGCCTCGTGCTAGAGGAGGAGGAGGAGGAGGAGGAGGAGGAGGAGGAGGAGGAGGAGGAAGAGGAGGAGGAGGAGGGAGGAGGGGGAGCAGGAGGCAGAGGGGGAGGTCGGAGGCGAAGAGGGCGGTGGAGGCGGAGGCGGAGGAGGAGGAGGAGGAGGAGGAGGAGGAGGCCCCAGGCTCGCCGGGGGCGGGGGGGGGGTCGTGGCCCCACAGCGGTGGTCCGCGCCGCCGGGTGCGGCCGTGGTCCTTTGCGGAAGCCGCTGGGCGTCGCTTCATGGGGAGGCGGTACCCTGAGATCCGACGCCCCCCAACAAAAACTGGAGCGGCGGGATTTGGGCAGTTTTCGGCCTCCGGGGGCCCTAGCCGAGCCTCGGGGGCGTCAAAAAAGACTCAGGACGAAAAACCTATCCCGGGGAAGTTGTCCGGACCTGGGGTCCACGCACCAACAAAAATTGGAGCAGCCGGATGTCTGGGTACGTGGGGGGGGGGGGCGGGCCATAACGGCCCCCTTTGGGCCCTTTCAGGGGCGCCACAGGGTTTCTTTTCTGCAGCCCTCGGTGCGTCCCTACTTATCGCCCCTCCTATCACGCGACGCCCGAAGTCCACGGGCGTCGGCGGGGCTCGTCGTGAGGCGCTGGCTGGGGCAAGTGGGGAGTTCGCAGACTGCGTCGCGGTGGGGGGGGGACCCTTGGCATGTCCCCCTGGTGTAATCCTGGCATGCGAGGGGGCGGCAAAGAGGAGGAGGAGGAGGAGGAGGAGGAGGAGGAGGAGGAGGAGGAGGGAGGAGGAGGGAGAGGAGGGAGGCGGGAAGAGGAAAGGGAGCAGGGAGGAGGGAGGAGGAGGAGGGAGAGGGAGGAGGGAGGAGGGAGGAGGACAATCAGGAAGGGATGGGGGATGCGGCGGCGGGGAGTCTCGCCCCTCCGCTTCCCCTCTGCCCCGGCGTGCTCTCCGCCGCGAGCGCGGGAGAACCGGAGGTGCATCCCCTCGGTCACGACCAAGAGCTGGAAGAGCAAGGTCCTCCCCTTTGCCGGCGTGCTCCTGTGGACGGCGCTGAAAGATTTGTACGAGGATTCCAATAGGCGAGCGGTCGGGGGGGGAGGGAGCGGGGAGGAGGAGGAGGAGGAGGAGGAGGAGGAGGAGGAGGAGGAGGAGGAGAAGGAAGAAGAGGAGGAGCGCAAGGAGAAGGAGGAGGAGGAGGAGGAGGAGGAGCGGAAGGAGCGTAAGGAACACGTCTTGCATTCTTCTGTGGGGCGCCCGCTTAAGAATCAGGGAGATCGCCCGTCCGTGCCCTGAGCAGCCGGAAAGTGCATGCCCTCGGAGTATTTGAGAAGTGTAAGGACCCTTCGTCTCCACGCCTGCAGGTGCCAATCCTGACAGCGCGTCACTATCCGTAAGTCGGGCTTGCCCTTCTACAGGAGGAAAGTTCAAACACTGTGTAAACATAGTCTGGGTACATTGTTTGGCCTATGTTTTCAACTACTTTCGAATATTGCTTGAGTATGTTTGATTGTTCATCCAAACTCCCTGTGTAGGAGGACATGACCTAACACTATTCTGGTTGTTCTGTTGCCGTGCGGGCGTCGTGCGGCATCGGAGCGAGAGCCGCCGTGAGCACGTGGCGGCAGGGTGACCATGCGAAGGAGGCAGAGGAGGAAGCGTCCAGGGAGGAACACGAGGAGAGTGTGGAAGAGGAGGAGCAGGAGGAGCAGGAGGAGGAGGAGGAGGAGCAGGAGGAGGAGCAGGAGGAGCAGGAGGAGCAGGAGGAGGAGGAGGAGGAGCAGGAGGAGGAGGAAGAGGAGGGTCCGCGCCCCCGCACGCCGCCCTCGCTCGCTCGCTCGCTCTGCTGCCCTCTCTGCCTGCGGGGAGGGCTCGAGGGGTGTCGCGTCGGTCGGCGGCGGCCCCGCCAGCGGCGTTCAACCTCGAGCGCCGCGGGCGACCCAGACTCGCTCGGTTCGGGTATGGCCAGGACCCCGGGTAAGGGGGCCGGGTCAGTAGTAGGGTCCCAGAGCCCCTAAATTGGCCAGAATCACTAAACCAGGTCTGCCGTAGCTGGTGTTTTTTCGGATGATGGTAGCTCCGATTGGTGAAATGGGGCGGGGGGGGCGTCCCTCAGTACACATCACTAAAGCAGGTCCCACTAAACCCAGTTCTGCCAACGCCCGATCGGTGTGGAACGATTTGGACGTTTCGAGAACGGCCGATCGTTCAAGGTTGAACGATCCCCGCGGTGTCAGAAACCAACGCCGAAGTCGGCACGACACGAACCTGGTGTGGGAGGACAGTGCGGAAGTAGATGCGCCTATACAGGCGCGTTTCGATTCCTCCTATTCGATTTGATGTCGATGGCTTCCAATTCCGATTCGATTCGACTTCGGATTCCGATTCGGGCTCCGATTTCCCAATGGAGGCGTGCTAGCTTGCCGATGTCCACCGATTCGACTTCTCCTGGTTCGGCTGCCGATTTCCGCCGATCCGATTCGTTTGGATTACCGGTCCGATCTATCGATTCGATTAGCGGCTCCACCATCACGTCATCATCATCATCAGCATCAGCATCGTCATCATCATCATCATCATCATCATCATCATCATCATCATCATCATCATCATCATCAGCATCATCATCATCATCATCATCAGTATCATTATCATTATCATTATCATTATCATCATCATCATCATCATCAGCATCATCATCATCATCATCATCATCATCATCGTCATCGTTATCGTCGTCGTCATCGTCTTGGTCGTCGTCGTCGTCGTCATCCTCAGCAACAGCATCATCATAGTTGTTCGAGCTGGGGGCGGGGGGGACGCTGTTTCTGCCATTCTGAGACCTCCTGGGGAGGCATACGAGGAGTGTGTAAGAGAAGGTACGCTTGTACGGCCTGCGGAAGCCGCCGTGGGGGGCGGTCGCCCAGGCCCCTTCGGCGGTGGATTGGCGCTGGCGGCTGCAGGCGGAAGCGCTGTTCCCGCGGACGCGACATCTTCCTCTCCCTTCCCCTCTGGTCTCTCCGTTCCTCCTCCTCCTCCCCCTCCTCCTCCTCCTCCTCCTCTTCCTCCTCCTCCTCCTCCTCCTCCTCCTAGGAGCTGCTATGGCTCTCAGCACAGCAGGAGCTCCCACCACACCTGCCACACCGCACAACCCATGGGTGGAGGTCACTAACATGCGGGGCGGCAGGCCTAGGCTGGCCTGCAGTACCTACTCTTCCTTCCCTCCGCCCGCAGGAATCGTCTTCGCCATGGCATTGAGAGTTTTGGCATATAATGTTAAATGGGATGATCACACTCGCCTGGAGGAGATATCGACTCTTACGCCGACCGCCGATATTCTGATGCTCCACGGAACCGAGCGTGCCGCAATGAAGGACGAGGACGTGGCGCAGGTCAACTTGCCGAATCACACTTGCGTGCAGTTCGGGTCCAGAAATTCATGGAGGTCAAACCGCTCCCGCGGCCTGGCGGTGACGTTCAACGCGGGGATGAAGGGCACTATGCAGCAGACCTTGTTCCTAACAAGGTCCAGGAGCATCGCAGGGCGGATCGCCATGACTAAGTTTCGCATTGGAGCACGCACGGTGGCTGTCCTTCCTTTTCCTGTTTACCTGCCGCCCAAGGGTACTACGCCGTCATTGTCGAAAGAGGCGGTCGATAAAAGTATGTCATGGTCCACCAAGACAGCTGACAAGCTTGGACATCAATGTTTCAACATCCTGGGAGGAGATCTGAACTGCACATTCGGCATCCGAAGAGACGCCACTGGGCACAAGTACTATCGAGCCGATCATGTAGTTGGGATTTTTTTTTAAAAAAAAAAAACCAAGGGATGGGAATAGCAGTTTCACAGCGCGTTCGAGACGCGATCGAGGAGACTAACCTGACCCTCGCAAACAGTTGTTGGGATACGGGGCTAACATATCTCATCGGCGCCGCTAACAGCAATATCGGCCAGTACATCGCGCCCACCGAATCCATGCAGCGCATCCTCACCATCAAGACGCTCCGAGTGCTCGGACGGCGACTGCAACGGAGTGTGACTACCCTGCCGCAGGACCTTGTCCCACTGCACGATGAGGGTGAGAAGTGCAGGGGGGGGAGGGGGGGGGGGGGGGGGGGGGGGGGGGGGGGGGGGGGGGGGGGGGGGGGAAGTACTTGACATGTACGAGTTACACGACGGCACAGCTTGCGGAGCGACGCTTCCGATTTTGAAGGCACTCAATGCACATGTCAATTTTGCACATCAGCTACGCAACGAGTACTCACTAGCCGTTCGTACGAATATGAGCCTATGGTATACGACAACATATGCGAGCAAGGTATCTGCAATCGGCACGCGCGGACCATGGCAAGCAAGACGCCGAGAACGCGCCCTACTCGATCGGTTTCGTTTAAATTTCGGCCCGAGCCTGATCCACCTTACACGTGTGGACATTGCGGCCTCAACCATGAAGATCTTCATACACACATACTTCACGTGCGCGAGCACGTTCCTGGGCCAGAGCCGCAAGATGATGGAGCCAGCGGACTGGATGATGACGGCCACGGGGGTGCGACGACGTGCGAATGGTGGGACTGGATTCGGAACGCAGGCAGAACACGTGGAGGTGACGACCCTGCAGCGCGCGACCCTCAGCACGACGCAGATGCCCGTGCACTCGGCGGGCTCGGACTGGGACTTCTACTTAGAATGAGGCGACGGAGCAGAGCACAGAGATGGGCACAGCCCACGCGGAGAAGGCCAAAGCAGGCGGGAAGGACGTGGGCAGCCCGTACATGCGCATCGCGATCGCCTTCTTCGGGGGCCTGGCGCAACTAGATTTGCCGAGCCCATCGAAAGAGATCTCCGAGGGGTTCGTCATATTGGTGAGCAAGATGCCACGCATGCACGTGGGGGACCTCATCCAATACTACCGAGTCAGGGCCGCCTACGCCCGGAAGGACCGGCCCAAACAGGTCAAGGTGCAGATAATGCGTGAAGCCACCCTGCTTGCCGCTGATTGACACGCAATTCCATCGGCGTCAGCAGTTTCTCGCAGTACATGGCCACCACTACATCTCTCTCATCAGCCGCGCGCTGGGTACAGACTACAGCATACCATTCCTTGTCATTGCCTTCATGCTTCATATGTTCCACAACCACAGCCTCATATTGGAAGTGGTAAATGGGATGTGCGTCACATTGAGTTCTGCCCATCAAGATCGAGCTCCGCTCTCACTGCCATGGCGAAGTGGCAGCCACGACATCTACGGCAAGGATTCTTGCTCTCTAAGACTCTTGAGCGCGGTGGCACTGGCACTATAGAATAGCAGCGCCACGTTCAATGTTTCACACATGCATGCATGTCGTGTAGCACGGCGCAGTGAGCACGCGATGCGCAGACCTGTATACAGAGTGTGCCCTAAGCGTCCACTAAGCATGTAACTACGTATATAGTTGCAGGTAGGGAGGGTTGAGCCCAGAGTTTCGCCCTCTCGTTTTGCTCTAAATAGGAGGTTGGAGACGGCCTAGGGCCGACGAGGGGCCCAAGGCTCTATAGGCCCTCGCGGGCTCCCCCAGGTGTCCCTCCGCCTCGCCTAATGACAGAACCAGCAGCAATTCAGGACGCTGACAGGCGCCCAAATTTGTTAGGCTCGTGCCCCGTGCCCGAAGTCGAACTGCTGCCGAGGTCGCTCGCTCGCTCGCTCCTCCTCCTCCTCGTGGTCCTGGGTGCGTCCCGCCACGGTGTCCCGATGGTGTCCTGTGCGCATGGGAGGCCCGGCTGCCCCACGCGGACAGAGCGCTGTTGCTCCCCGGGCGGACGGCGCGGCGCGGTGCAGGCGTCCGCGGCCGGCGCTAAGTCGGGCCTGTCCCTCTACAGGAGGAATAATCAAAAATAACAAAACAATCGTCAGGCGAGCTTTTGCGGATTATTTTGTAAATTCTTCGTCCAAAATCCCCCTGTAGGGGGACAGGCCTGCCCATGGACCAGCGTGGTGGCGTCGGCGGATGGCGGACCCCCTCCTCAGGGCTCGTTTCGATTCTCCCGATTCGAGTCGATTCGACATGGATGGCCTCCGATTTCGATCCGACTTGCATGACTTTCCTGAGTGGAGGTTTGCTGGCTCTGCCGATCTCTGCCGATCCGACTTCTCTCGACTCGGTTGCGGACTGCCGCCGATCCGATTCATTTCGATCGCCGATCCGACTTATCGATTCGATTCTGGGTTTTCCTGTCCTTTCTCTTTCTATATATAGATATAGTTACGCATGTGTGCATTAACATATAGATATATATATGTATATATATATGCGTGTATAGGAATATGTGTGTATGTATGTATGCATGTATGTATGCATGCAGATAAGCATGTGTGCATGTATGTATGTGTGTATGTATGTGTGTATGTATGTCTGTATGTATGTGTGTATGTATGTATGGATGTATGCATGTATGTGCGTATGCATGCATATGTATGTATGTATGTATGTATATGTGTGTATATGTACGCCTGTCCGTCTGATTGTACGTAGGCATGCATGCATGCATGCATGCATGTATGGATGCATGTATGTATGTATATATGTGTGTATATGTGTGTGCATGTATGTATGCATGTATGCATGCATGTATGCATATATATATATATATGTATGGTTGTAGGTGGGTGTATGTGTGTATGTATGTTTGTGTTTACGTGTGGTTGTATGTATGTGTGTGTATGTATGTATATATATATATGTATGTAGGTATATATATGTTTATGTATTCATGTATTCATGCATGCATGCATGTATGTTTGTATGTATAGTCATATATATGCATGTATGTGTGTATGTATGCACGTACGTGTGTGTATGTATGTTTGTTCTGCGTGTGTACGAATATGTATGTACATGTATATGTATATGTTTGTACACACATATATATATATATATATACATATATAAATGTATACATATGTGTGTTTGGATGTGTGTGTATGTGTATGCGATAAACATATATATATATATATGTATATATATAATGAGAGAGATACATACATATTGTGTATCCCCCCGATCGGGCGGCGGCGGCGGCGGTGTGGTCGGCGCCTCCTCTTCCTCCAGTGGCGGCGGGTGGCGTTCGGGCCGAGGTTCTGCCAGGGCGCGGGGCGGCACGGTTGCGCTGCCCCGGCGGCCTCGGAGCGGAGGGTTCCCAAAAGGGCTTTTGGGGAGGGGGTTTTCCAGAGAGCCCCCCAGGGGCCTCGGAACCTTGTCAAAACAAAGGGGTGCGCAGCCCCTGAAGGGCCCCCCTGGGGTGCGCAGCCCCTGGGGGGCCCCTCCGGTCAGAGAAGGCTCGACGGCGCACGCGCCGGCCAAAGGCTCGGGAGCATGCGGTAAGGCCAAGAAGCGCCCACCGCATTCTCACTCTTCGGGCCTCTTTGGGGGGCGGCCCGTCCGGCGCCGTGCGGAGCCGCTTTTGGGGGGGGGCCTCCTTGAGAAGCGACGTGGGGCCGCCGCGATCCTCGTGAGGGGTCTGCCGAAATACCCCGAGGTCCAACGTACTGAGAAAATCGGGGCGGAGGTTTTTTTCGCAAATTCCGGCCCCCAGGGGCCCTCGGTGGGCCTCGGGAGCGTCAGCAAACGACTCGGGATGAAAAGCCGGTCCTGGGGAATGGGTCGACCGTTCGGGGAGCCCGTATTCCCTTATTTTTCGTTTCCAGGCAAAACCAAGCCATACCACGCGCCTCCTCGTCAAGCGGCCTGACCAGTACAGGCTGCAATTTGGCATCGTTTGGTATCTCTTGGAAGCGAGGGTGGTCAAAAGCGAGGTAGGTTTGTTTTCCCCCTAGTGTTGAAAAACTACAACATCGTATCTCTGGGTATGTGGCGGGGACGCATGCGGGCTGCGCCCCTGGGACCTTCGGTGGAGCTCGTGCGGGGTGTGCCGAGACAGAAGCAGAAGCATGCGGATGGCAGAGGCAAGGACGGGAGAAGGGAGGAGGGGGAGACGGGTGAGAGGAGAGGACGTGCTGCAATTGTAAGTACCGTTTGGGGTGGAATTCCTTGGGGTAACGCCCGCGGGGTGTGCCGGAACGGGGGTGGCGCCCACATGCGGGCGGCGCCAATGGGACCTCAGGGACCTCAGGCGAAGTTCCCTATGGAGCTACGAAGTGTGTGAGAAGTGTACCGAAACCGGGGTGGCGCCCACATGCGGGTGGCACCAATGAGACCTTGGGCGGAGTTCCCGATGGGGCCATGAAGCGTGTGAGGGGTGTACCGAAACGGGGACGGCGCCCACATGCGGGCGGCGCCAGTGGGACTTTGGGTGGAGCCCCCCTATGGTTTCACGAAGCGTGTGAGGGGTGTGCCGAAATTGAATGCGGAGGGCATAGGCAGGGATGGGAGGAGGGAGGGGGGCAGCGGGATGAGGAGGAAAACGAGGAGAAGGAGGAGGAGGAAAACGAGGAGGGAGAGAAGGAAGAGGAGGAGGAGGAGGAGGAGGAGGAGGAGGAGGAGGAGTTGACGCGGGGTTTTGTATTTACAAAACAAGGAACCAACACCACAGGATGGCTGAGAACGACCAGCTGAAGTTCAGCACGCTGGGCACCCCTGTGATAAATCAACTTGGGGCGGCGGATCTAGCGGACTTCGGCCCATCTCGCCACCGCCCTTGTGTTGTAGGTCCGAGACCTTCAGGGATGCCTGTGGAGATCTCTGGCGAGGCCTTTTCGGAGGCCTCTTGGATTAGGTTTGGGGTGTTTGCGGGGCCTCTCGGGTGTCTCTTTGGTGCCTCTTGGGGGGGGCTAATTTGGGCCTCTTGGGGGCGCCCTGGAATTTGAGGGGCGCCTCTTGGGGGCCTGCTGGCGGTTTCGGGGGCTATCTTGGGGCGAAGAGCTCGAAGTGTCGGTTCGTGTTCCCCCTCTGGGGCCTCTGTTGGGCCCCCCTTGTGGTCCTATTGGGCCGTCATCGGGGCTTCTTGGTCATCTCGGGCCGTCTGGGGGCGTTCTCGAGGGCGACCTTGTCGGCATTTTGGGATGTCTTGGGGCGTCGAACGCTCGAAAATGCGAGCGCACTGAAAATCTGTCAAAAGCGTCAGGGTCATCAATGATTATGAATTACGGCATCTCGGGGCCCTCTTGGGGGGCCTCTTGGAGCCCTCTTGGGCGTCTTGGGGGCCTTTTAGGCTGTCAGTGGGCCATCTTGGGCGTCTTGGAGCGATATTTGGGCGACTCGGGGCCATCTTGGACCGTCCTGGGGGCCTCTTGGCCCGTCATAGGGGCCCTCGGGCCTTCGGAACAGTCGCGCGGGGAAGCCCGGGAGCGCGCGAGACCGCGCGGAGGTCAAGAAGATGTTGGGAATTCGGGCTCACCTGAGCCGGGTTGGGAACAGATCACGACTAGATCCAGAGTGCCCATCGGTTATTGAAAGCAGGTATTTTGGGATTCCCAGATTCCAATATATTTTCAGCGCCTTTCTACTTCAATGATCGAGTGGCTCCAACTTCTCCGTCAGCCTCAGGGGGCGGACGGAACCCAATATTCTTACAACGTTTTCCTACTTCATGTTTCTACTTCATGGGCATAGAGAAGTCCAGAAGCCTGTGCAGCACTCGACTTCGTGCCGCGAGGGTACGGTGGCGGAGACGTCTGGGGAGTCTGCGGGGGGGGGTAGGAGACGTCATCCCCCCAGCTCGGCGGCAGGCGCCGTGACGACCGCGCGGAGAACGAGAGGCCCTGCCATGTGTACAGCTGGCCGCGGGGAGCGCTGGAGCTGGTGCCGTGGAAGGCGTGCGGCGTCGGTGATCTCGTCGCGGTGCACAAGGAGACGGGAGCCCTCTGGCCTCCTCTCTCCCTCTCGGCCGGAGCTTTGCGTGGCGGGGCTCCCGCCCCGCAGTGGGGAGGCCGGCAAGCTGCGTCAGGAAGTGGGGGGCGGGACGGCGGGAAGACAGGGGGTTGGAGGAGGGGGCGGAAGATGTAGGGTGAGAGTGGAGGGAGAAGGAGGAGGAGGAGGAGGAGGAGGAGGAGGAGCAGGAGCAGGAGCAGGAGGTGGCGTGAGACATGAGGACCCTCCACCCCCTGCCCTTCGGACCCCCAGAACGGGAAGGCGGCACGGCCCCCGGGGCCGAGAGGCCCAGAGGTGGACGCTGCGCGCACCCCTAGGCGGGAGAGTGGCCCTGCCCTCCCCTTCCCCCCCCCTCTCCAGCCTCAAGTCGGGCGTGTCCCCGTACAGGGGGATTTTCGACGAGAAATAAGAAGCACTAATAAAACAATACTCCAACAGGGTCAAACAATACTCAAAAAATAGTCCCTTGATATTTTTCAAAAACAAAAAATGAATATATCGCCTGTAGAGGGACAGGCCCGAATTAATTCCAGCCCCCCCAGGGGTCCGCGGCACCTCCAGGCTGATGTGGGCGAGAGCGGTCCATCCTCCGCCGCTGTCCTGTCCTTCTCCCCCTTCCGGGGGCGACCGGCTGGCAGCGCGAGGTGCCGATGTGTTGCTAGGCAGGCCTGCCTGGCCCCAGCAGCACCTCAGTAGTTCAGTATCGTTTATCCGACCCCCATCCCCATCCTCATCCCTTTGGAGACCCCCACCAAATTACCCCCCTAGTTGGGGATACACCCCTCGAAACCCAAAGGGGACGGCCTGTAACCCCATCTAGGGGGGTAAATCGGCCAGTGGGGCCCAGGCCACGCCGCTGGGGATGGGGATCGGTTAAACGATACTCAGTAGTTACGGATGCGGAATCCAGTTCCGGTTCCAGATTGATGATGTCAATCCATAACCCCAATCCCCGGTCATCCCTTCTGGGTGGTTCCCAGTGCACAGGCCACACCTGGAAGTTGTGCCAGATTCGGATGCCGGATCCCGATCGGGTTCCGGATCGGGATGACCCTAGTCCTTCATCCCAATCCCCGATCATACCTTATGGGTTCTCAGTGCACATGATGTTGTGCCGTATGTGAAGGTCGGGTCTGGAGCAGGTTCTGCATTCGGATCACCCCAATCCCTAACCCCAATCCCCGGTCCCAGTGCAAGGCCAGACCTGGACGTTGTGCCGGATACGGATGCCGGATCCAGATTGGGATGTTCACAATCCCTAGTCCCAATCTTTGGTCATCCATTATAAGTAACCCCGCATCTTCCCTTAACGCTTGGTTTATGATTCTCCCTGGGCTGCATATTGTTTCACACTGCCACGACAGGCGGGGGCGAATTTGATTGTCACCCCCAAAGTTCGCATCGTAGCTTTTTCCTTCATGCCATGCATAGCACGATGAGTATTCCTTCTCATCTTTTGTGTGAAGATTCGCCGAGTTCGCGTCCATCAGCTTTTCGAGGATGCCTCAAGCAAAACGCGTGTTGTTGTAAAGATCACTGTCGCGAAAAAGAACTCTCAGCTCCTCCTTCTCTCTTTCTTATATGCCTTTTCTTCTTCTCCTCCTCTTCTTCTCGCCTCTGTCTCCCGTTGCTCTTTACTTCTTCTGTCCCCGGCCCGAGCTTTTTTCACCCCAGGTGTTTAATTACAACTTCCGAATAATAGCGACCATGAGAAGTCTTACGCGACGAGTTGAACACCACCACGGAGCGTTGAGTTTTACAACTCGTCTTTGATAGACCAGGAACTTGACATGTTCCGGAACTCTTCCTCATCCTCCTTCACTTCTCTCCTCCAGGGAGGCTCCTCCGAAATGATTCAATGCACCACTTCACAAGAGTACTTCAGGATAAGTGCTCATCTGACATTTCCAAGAAGGCGCTCCGAGAGGGACCATTGTACCACTTCCCCAGTGTATGTCATAGCAGTTGTGCTCTTCCCACATCTCCAGAGATGTCCTCCAGAAGGATCATGGAGGCTCCGTCAACGAGGCGCTTGAAGACCGATCCAGACATCCGAACACCGATATTCCCGGGAACAGCTCTGATCCTTCCTTGGCCCCGAACGTTATTACCCCCTGCGGGATTTTTCTCGCCGGCAGAAGGCAACGGGGTCCACATTCGCTGATCTATATGGTGAACCGCCGGTGGCGCTACGGAGGCGGGGCTTGTGACATACAGCCTTGAACCACCTTCGGCTGGAACGCGCTTCGCCGCGGGCTGGGTTATCAGGCGCGACGCGGGGTGCAGGCTAATGGATGCCGGCTCCGTGTGTACATCGGGGTCCCTGCTTCTGGCTTGCTTGGTCAGGCCCCAGGAGGCAGCCTGTCAGAGCCCCGAATCATCAGGGGTAACTCGGGTCAGGGCTAACTCGGGTTCGTTTGTCGGGAATCCAAACCCGACTTACCCTGGACCCGAGTTACCCCAGATAATTCGGGCGTCCAGAACCCCACATCATCAGGGGTAGCTCGGGTCAGGGCTAACTCGGGTTCGTTTTTCGGGAATCCAAGCCCGAGTTACACCGGACCCGAGTTACCCCAAATAACTCGGGCGCCCAAGCCTGCCGGGCAGAGGGTCGAGCCCTCTGTTACCCCCCCCCCCCGCGCAGGAGAATTAGTGTAGCTCCTGGTCGTTGGCCCGCTGCGGCCGCTGGGCCTGGCTTGTGGCCTGGTGCCACGCCAGGCACGCAGCAGCCTAGGTTTGACACTGCCCTCTCGAGAGGGGACGGTCCCTCATTGTCATTGCGCCTGTTGTCCCAACGGTTCGCGGCCCGTTCTGACTCTGTGCGTCATGGCGCCGTGCGCCTGCGGTGCATCTTAGCACCTAACTCTGGTGTTGTGAACATTCTCTTCGGGTCCTTCCATGCCACGCCATCCCCCCCAATCCTCGAAGGAAAGGCGAGGGTAGGGGCTGAGAGGTCGCCCCCAGAGGATGAGCCCTTCCCCGTCGACATGGTCGTGCTGTCCTCCTCGGACTCTTTGGGGACGTGCTTCATTTCAACAGGACTGCAGCTCGCGACCGTCGCCGAGGAGGAGGAGGAGGAGGAGGAGGAGGAGAAGGAGGAGGAGGAGGGCGAGGAAATGGAGGGCATGTGGCTCCAGGACTTGCTGCTGCGACCGCGGGCGGGGTATTGACTGACCAAGCTGCAAGCTGCACGGTCCAACGCGGCCTCGCGCTGCACTGCGTGTCGGACACAGGGATGAGGTTCTTGCGCCATGGAGGCGGCCTCGGAGTCCGAGCTGATTTCCACCCAGCGGCGCTCCAGGTCGCTGGAGGCCGTCTCGGGCCCAGGAAAGCCCAAGCATGTCCAGGCACCTCGGTCCTCGATCGTCTTTGTTTTGTTATGCATTGGTTCGCCGATCTGCGCTGGCCCCCGCCCCCCCCCCTCCTAGACCTGTCTTTTTGCTGCTCTCGGCGGCTGCATTTGGCGACTGGCCAGGACCCCTTCCCCCAAATCTGCTGGCGCGACTGGCAAAAGCAAGCAGATCGACTAAACACCAGCCCAGACCCAGACCCCAACCCCCTCCCCCACCATTCGGCCAAATATCGACACCCAGACCAAGTAGAAACGCCTGAGGATCCTCGAGGGAACCCCAAGAATCTTTACTTTTGCATCCCCCCTTGAATTTCTCGGCGGGGAACAAGCTCGCCTCTCCTCCTCCTCCTCCACCTCCTCCTCCTCCTCCTCCTCCTCCTCCTCCTCCTCCTCCTCTGCTGGGGGGGGGGTATCGAGAGACCCGTTCGGGGCCAGTGGAGCCCAAGTCCAAGGCCTTCGCAGGGGCGCGGCAGGGCGGGCGGCCGCCGGGGCGCGGCACGGCCGCCCGCCCGCCCGCAGAAAGGCGCGGCGAAGGCCGGCGCAGGCAGCCGGGCCTCGGCGGAGGCCGCCAGACCCGTTCCCAGGCATGAGTCAAACGACGCGAAGATCGGGACAAAATCGGATCGGGATAAGTCGAAATCTCTGAGGATCGGCGGGTTTGGAGGATGTATTGGGCGCCGCGGCCGCTCCAGAGCGTTCCAGAACGCTCTGAGAGCGCTCCGGAACGCTCTGGAGCGATTTATCCCGATCTTAGCCCTGTTTTTATGAGACTCCACAGATCCAGCGTATTGAGCAGGGGAAGCGAAGAGTGACAGAAACACAAAAGATCGGAGGTCCGCGCGGATTTCTCGGGTCCGCGCTGGGGCCCCTCTGGCGGCGCCTCTGGCGCCGCCCCTGGCGCGCTCCGCGTGCCCGGGAGGGGGGTCCAGCGCCGATCCGAGAAATCCGCGCGGACCTCCGAGGTTTTATGTTTATGTCATTCTTCGTTCCTATTCCTCTATTGGAAAAATCGAGACGGCGATGTTTGTCGTTTTTGGCCTCTCGGGACCCTCACCGGGCCCCAGGACCGTCAACAAAAACATTCAGGATGAACAGCCGGTCACGGGGAATGGGTCGAGACTTCGGGGCACCCCGCGTGGAAAATAACAAACAAGCACGACTTCGGATCTCTGGGATCGCGTCGCGAAGAAATAACGACGTCCGAGGAGGAAAAGGTACCTGAGGTACCCATACTGCTAACTTTCGCCCGTTTTTCCTTTTTGGTGGTCTCGTGGGAGGCCGTCGTTGCCACCGCTGGATTCGCTTCGAAATCCTGGTCAGATCTCATCCTGGGAGAGGTCCCGGGAGCAGCGGCATCGGTACCTGCTGTTTTCCGCAGCGTCTACAAGAGATCAGGACGGGAGGGTTTTGGCCATGTTCGGCCTCTGGTAGCCCTTACCGGGCGTGGGGACCGTCAAAGACGATTGAGGATGAAAAACCGACCCCGGGGCAGGGATCGAGCCCTCTGGGGGTCGACGTTGTCAAAGAATCACGACGTCAGGTTTAGTGGGGGTTTGAGAGCGGGGGCCTCGCGGCGGCCGCCCATGGCCTCATGGCGGCCAGACGTGACCTCATGGCGGCCACCTGTGACCTCACGGCGGCCACCCGTTGCCTCGTGGCGGGGCTGGTAGTCCCGTCTCCTGGATCCGGACCTGTGGCGGCCTCGGCGCGCCCCATTCCCACGAGGGGGAGGGTAGCGGCGGTTGCTGTCATGGCGGACCCCGGAGCCTACGGCCGACCGCGAGTAGTGTGCGTCGTCCCGGAGGTCCCCGAGAAGGTCGTTCAATTTTCGACCATTTTCGGCCTCCCAGGGGGTTCGGCTATTATATTTCCGGCCTCCGGGGGCCCTCGCACGGCCCCGGGACCGTCAGAGCACGGCTCGGGACGAGAAGCCAGTCTGGGGGAGAGGGGTCGGGATTTCTGGGGTCCTGGGCGCCCCCAAGCGGTGTGGTGGCCACACCGTGTGGTGAGTTTGTGGGGATTCGGGGTCGCCGCACGGTTTTGGGGCTCGAGTCCCTCTCCGAGGATTTCTTGGGCGACAGGGGCCTCCAGGGTTCCAAAACCGTGCGGTGACGGGCCGTGCGGTGAGGTCTTGGGGTATTTCGAGGTCACCGCACGGTCCGTCACCGCACCGTTTTGGGACTCCAGAGATCCGCGCGCAGTGGGACCCATGCCAAGAAGCACCCTGTTTGCCTCCAGCGTGCCCTGGGTTTCTTGGGTCTCGATGGCTTTGGTGTGAAAAAAGCGTGACGTTCTCACGCCAGAGGGCTAGGGACGTCCTGGGATGACAGGGTTGGGTTTCTTGTGGAGGGTCTCTTGTGGTGTAGCTCCTACTGGATTGGAAACATCGGGGCGTCGCATGTCCGGGAAGGGCGGCGCGCGTGGACTCTTCCTGCCGCTCTGGGCACTCGAGCATTGGCGAAGCGTCTTGATTTGCCTGCAGATCCACCAAATAATGGTATGAGAACCTTTCTGGTGGTTTGAACGAAATGGTCTCAGAACATTTCTTGCGGAGGCCGTCTTGTTTTGACACATCTGCGTTTTGTTATAAGAGCGTTGTGTCCTGTTCTTAGAACGTGATTTCGTGATCAGAGAGTTTCGTGGTAGGACTATAGGGCAGCGGGTGGACCAGTCGGGCGCGGTCGTAGGCAGTGGTCCCGAGCGTGCACGAGTGGGCTGACGAAAGGGGAGGCTGCGACTTCGGCCCCGCCGCCGGGTGTATTCGTGAATGCATGAGCGCCTCTCGGCGCCAGGAGACGATAGGAAGACCAGCTACGTGAGATGATTATCTACCCTACCTTTTGCTATCCTATTTTCTCCGGCAGCAAATCGTGGGAGCCTGGTACACCTTCTCAATTCCGTCTTAGCGTCGATTCGCGTTTAGGGGGTCGATGAGATAGCGCTGATTCAGCGTCGGTTAGCGTCGATCTAGCGTCGGTTAGCGTCGATTCGCAAGAGCCGACATGATGGTATGGGTCTGGAGCGAAAGAAGGACGTACACGTAAATGAATCCACGTTGGAAACGAGAGTACGTATTGCGCGAATGTTCACATCACGCGGCGGGTCTCGTGGATCGAGGGGCCGTGTTGATGTACATAGCTGGGCACGTACGTTCTTTGTGGGCTCCCTAATGGGAGGCTCCCATGAGTTGCCACCGAACCTTTCGTCCCCCCCCACAAAACAAGGGTGGTGGAATGTTGGTCCGCGTGGAGCTCCCCAAGGGTGGCTCTCGACGTGTGGTGGTCGACATGCCCGCGGACAGATCACGCCCTTCGCTCGGCATTCGATGTGAGGGGATGGTTGATTGCTATTGAAATTTCGTGTGCTCTATATATGGGGGCCAGGAGGGAGGAGTCCCAGGAAGTGGCGCGTGCACCGGAAACGCGGCCGCCCAAAGTTGCAACGGGTTCAGTGCGTGTACAAGTTAATACAACACACGCAGCCGTAGTTTGGTAGCGTGTTTCATTATTCCTCCCTCTCCTTCTCCTCCATTTTTTTATTTTGCCGAGGCGCCGTTGCGTTGCGTAGATGGCTTCGAGGATGACTGGCTTCGGTGGCAAATTACCGTCAGAATTCCGTCTTCAGCGCCGAGTAGCGTCGATTAGCGTTTGCGACTAGCGTCGATAAGCGTCGACTGAGCATCGATTATCGTCGGTTTAGCGTCGAGTTGCGTCGATTCGCAAGAGCCGACAATGTGGTATTGGAGGCCCCCATGAGTTGCCACACAAATTGGTCATGTTGTTTGTGCATGGCCCCCTGACGCTAGGTTCTCTGATCTTGAGCGCGGCTTCCTGAATCTACCTGTCCCTCCCCCACCCCCACTCCCATCTTTGTTGCAGTTCTTCCTTCCTCCCTCCCCCCCTCCCTCCACCAGACCACTTCACTCTGAACCTCCTGCACCGTCCCCCCCTCCTCTCCCTCTTCCATCCCTCCCCCCTTCCTCCCTCCATCTCTCCCGCCCGCTTCCCCCTCTCCCTTCCTCCCTCTCCCCCCTCCCCCCCCCCCTTGCCCTTCTCTCGACCCGACCCCTCCTCATCCTCCGCCGACCAACAACGGCCCCTGGAGTATCCCTGGACGGCGAGACGAACCTGAAGGAGAAGCGCGCCCTGCCGGCCACGCAGGCCCCTCCTGGGCAGCGAAGGGGGGGCCTTGTTCTCAGGCAGCGGCGAAGCGCCCTGGCTCGCCGCCGATAGGCCCACCAACGAATGTTCTAAGAACGTTTCTGGCCGAGGCTGTCTTACGTTGACCTGTCGGCCTTGTGTTAGAAGAACCTTGTCGTGGTTCTTCGAACATTTGTGGGTTCCAAGAACAGCACACCAGAGAAAAAAACAATCAGTGGCTGGTTTGACGAATCGTGGGATCGATAAAGAGATCAATAAGGAGATCGACCAGGAACCCGGGAACCTGGAACCCACCGAAATCGGCCTGGAACCAATAACCAGCAACCCAGGAACCCGGGAACCCAGCCGGCTACCAACATCGGCGGGCAATATTCACCAAATCTTTCGAGTTCTCTTATAGGACCCCTTCAGTGCAAGCATCGGTTGAGGAATGTTGTGGTAGGCCTATAGGAGTTCGGAGGCGGCAAAGACAGGGGTGATGACTAGGGGGGGGGATATCATGGCGGGGGCCATGATGTTTTACCAGATTTGATGGCGCCTCTTCTTGTTTGATTACGTCCCTGGCCCCCCCGCTGGGCCGCGCACATGCCGCCGGTCATGATTTGCACCCCCCTCCTGGACACCTTCCTCCCTGGCCGCTCCCAAGGAGTGCCGGGGCGGTCGGCCCCTCCTGGAGCAGCGACGGGGGACCCCCTGCTCGAGGCACGCCCGCCTCGGCGGCTCGGCGGGCCGACGGCGGCGGCGGCAGCGCAGGGCAGGGCAGCAGCGAGAGCACCGAGGGCGACGGGGGTGCAGCACCGCGGCCAGCCAGGGGCAGGCGGAGGAGGAGGAGCAGGAGGAGGAGGAGGAGGAGGAGGAGGAGGAGGAGGAGGAGGAGGAGGAGGAGGAGAGGAGGATGAGGAGGAGGAGGAGGAGGAGGATGGAGAGGAGGACGAGGAGGAGGCGGAGGAGAAGGAGGAGAAGGAAAGAGGAGGAGGAGGAGGAGGAGGAGGACGACGACGAGCGAGGGGAAGGGGCTCCCCGTCATCCGGGAGCCAGAGAGAGGGTGGCAGCCAAGGGGTCGCCAGATCAACTGTGTGTTGGCAGATCTGTCATCGTTCTGAGCAGATCCACCAGGTTTTGATACCCGGTAGCTCCGCCTCCTCCTGCTCGCCCCTTTCCTCATCCTCCAGTAGTACGCCGTCCTCCACCAATCCCCTCCTTGCTCCTTCCTCCATGTTTCTCCCTTCTCCCTCCTCTGTCCTCCTCATCTCGCTCTCCTGCCTTCCCCATCCGCCCCCCGTTCTCCCTCCGCTCCCTCGTCCCCCCCCCTACTCCCTCCTCCGCATTGCCCCCTCTGCCTCCGCTCTCCCCCCCACTCCCTCGGACCCTATCTCCTGCCCCCTCCCTCAGGATGAGCAGCCCAAGGTTACCCTTGCATCATTCCCCCTTCGGCCCATCCTCGGCCGCTTTCGCTGGCCGCGCCGTCCGCAAAGTATCGACATGGCCTTCCGAGGCCCTTGCATCCTTGTCGTGCGTCCTCATTCTGCGGGTCGACTGCGTTGAGGCTTTCTAGGTTGTGTGGAAGCCGGGGGAGGAGGAGGAGGAGGAGGAGGAGGAGGAGGAGGAAGAGGAGGAGGAGGAGGAATAGCAGGAGGAGGATGAGGAGGATGAGGAGGAGGAGGAGGAGGAGGAGGAGCAGGAGCAGAAGGAGGAGGAGGAGGAGGAGGACGAGGGAGAGGATTGGAGGGGGGGGGCTGTGTTGGCTGTACCCGCCCCTGGAGCCCGCCGAGGCGGCGAGCAGCTCCGCGCTGGGGCGCGGCGCCGAGGAGGCCGCGGGGCTGCTGCGCGCGGCGGAGGTCGAGGTGCTGATGGAGGTGCGCGCGCGGCAGCGCGCAGAAGCAGGGACGGGGGAGGGCGAGGAGGACCAGAGGAGGAAGAGTAGGGGAACGACAAATGACAGAAGCATCAAAACTCGGAGGTCCGCGCGGATTTCTCGGGTCGGCGCTCGATCTCCTCCCTGGCGCGCGGAGCGCGCCAGGGGCGGCGCCGGAGGCGCCGCCAGGGGGCCGCAGCGCCGATCCAAGAAGTCCTCGCGGACCTCTGAGTTTTTATGTTTTTGTCATTCTTCGTGCGCCTAGAATTGTCCGAATACCGCTGCCCTCGCCCCGTTTTGCCCTCTGTGGGCCTCCTGGGCGGCCCTCGTCGCCACCGCTGGCGTCGCCTCGAAATTCTGGCCAGGACGCATCCTTGGCGAGGTCCGGGGAGCAGCGGTATGGGCGGTATGGGCGGTGGAGGGGAGGGTCGAGGATCGGGGTTGGCAGGTCGACGAGGAGGAGGAAGAGGAGGAGGAGGAGGAGCACGGAAACGAGGAGGATGACAGGATAAATCCCGTGGCCCTCATCTCCTCCTCTCATCCGGCCTTGTCTCTTCTGCGCGGCATGGCGCTGCTCTCTGTCTCTCTGTCTCTCTCTCTCTCTCCCCCTCTCTCTTTCTCGGACCTGCGAAGTCGGGCCGCGTGCCCGTGCTGCGGGCAACAATCCTGGGCGTCCGCATCGTGACCGCTGGTGTGTGTGCGTGTTTTTGTTTTATCAACTTTGCTCGATCAGGAGATCTACTACAGAATTGACTTACCCCAACATTGATTTCTCCTTTCGAGTCCACACGAGCGCCGTGGATTCGGCAGACAATTCCATGTGGGGGGTATCAATTCTGCAGTCGATCCCCTACTCGATTCGCGTCGGGCCCTTCAATTCTCATGGAGTACCAGCTGGGGTCGCAGTGCGGTCGTCGGTGGCCTTCATCGGTGCCTGCCAGGCGGTCGCGCGCCTTCGTGACCGTCACCGTGGCGTGTCTTCGCTGTGCCAGTGCTGCCCGCCCTCAACACTGTAGTCATGTCTTTGTGTCGGCCGTCTGGTCCGCGGCTCATTCTTCCCGAAGTCGCTGCGGATCTTGACATTCGGCCCTGGGCAGACCCCCACCCCGACACGTCGATTAGTGCATCGTCCGTTTTCGGTTCTTGAGGGGGGCCGCGGCCGTCATTTTCCAGGTTTGCGCCTGCCAGGTTTGGGCCCGAGGTCGATCTCACTAAACCACGTTTTGCTAAAGGGGGCCCTGCCCATCCCCGAGACATGACCTGATGTCGATCACCTGCGCCTGACCCATGGCCGTTGGAGGGTAGGCATTGGCGCAATGTTGGGCAACGCTTAGGTTATTACTGGAGCTAAAGTGTGATCCTAGGGAGCAGATTGGGGCCGACTTGAGGCCCTGTTGGACCATCATCTTTGGCGATTGGTTGGAGATCGAGAGCTGTTGAGGCAATGTTTGGCTAACTTGGTGCGACTGAAGAATCACAGGACCCTCTTGAATCCATATCCGGACGGCGTGGGAGCTGAACAAGCGACAAAAGCATCACATTAAGTTGTGAATAAGGTTCCACGTTGTCTTCTACCTTCTCGGAGCGGTTTGGCGCCTCTCGGCCATCTTGGGTCGTCTACGGCTCTGGGGTATTTTGGGGGGCCCTCTGGGAACGTGTCTAGAAGCTTCTTGCGCACTCTTCGCCTCCCAGTCTCGTCCTTATGGGAGTGCAGACCAGGGGCTGAGGTACACACATTCCCCAACATATTGCGAAGGCCTGACTGCTGGTGCAGCCGACCCGGAAGGGTAACGACGACGGCGGTGGCGGTGACGACGACGCTGACGTGAGTCAGAGTCCTGCGGGATGCTTCTTGGGGTCTCTTCGGAGAGCTCTCGGGCGCCACTGGGGGGCAGTTATCGGGAGCCACTTGGGGGCCTCTCGGGAGCCTCTTGGGGCCTCCCGGGAGCCTCTCGGGGCCGAGGTCTCGAAATGTTGTTCACCCTTATGGAGCAGTCTTGGGGGCATATTGGGCCGTCTTCGATGCCTCTGAGGCCGTCCTGGGGCCCTCTTGGGCCGTTTCTGGGCCCTCTCCGACGCCTAGTAGAAATCATTGTGGATGTCAGTGGATTTGCCTCCTGGGAGTGCTCTTGTCGCCTCTTGGTGCATCTTGGAGGCCTCTTGGGATGTCTGGAGGCTTTCTTTGTGGCCTCTCGGGTCCCCCCTGGCGGGGAAGGGATCAGAGGGAGGGTATTCCTGCTCGATTCATCTAAGACTTGCTCAATTTCGCTTTGGCTGGCGTGCTTGAAGGGGGGGGCGGCGACGCCTACGCCTGCGCCGCCGCCGCCGCCGACGACGACGACGCCGACGCCAACGCCGACGCCGACGACGACGACGACAACGACGACGATGGCGACAACGACGACGACGGGTCAAACGAAGCAGCGCCTCGCACACGCCGACAGGGTCGGTGGATTTGTTGTTTGGGGGCACCGTGGGAGGCCCCCGGTAGAAATGAGACAGGACGGGAGAGACAAGGGACAGGAAGCAAGGAGTAGGATGACGACTGGAAACGAGACGACCAAGCACGCGATGGCAGTCCAGCGCGCATGAACTCAGCCTTGCGCCCCCGAGGGGGGCCTGGCGTTTCATGGTTGCCGCTCGGCTGCGACTGGCGCCTCGGTGTGCTTACCAGCGCTCTCGCGGTCCTCCGCGCGCGCCCCCCCCCGCCGCAGGCACCGAACCCGAACCTGGGCGAGGCCAGCGGGTCCGTGGCCTGGCCAGGCGCCGCGCGCGCTCTCGACCGCCGCGCCCTCTCGGCAGGCCCCCCCGTGTCCCCTGCCGAGCGGGAACAGGTCAGGGCTCGTGTCGGCTCCCCCGATTCGATTCGACCCGATTTCGATGGCGCCCGATTCCGATTCGATTCGACTTGGTTCCGATGTCTTGTACTGGACGCATACCAGTCTGCCGATGTCTGCCGATTCGGCATTTCCCGACTCGGCTGCCGACATCCTCCGATCCGATCCATCTCGATCGCCGATCCGACTTATCGATTCGAGCCTGGGCTCCCCTGACAAGATACCGATGCCGCTGCCCTTTCCTCGTCGCCACCGCTGGCTCTGCCTCGAAACGTTGGCCCTCACGCGCCCCCGGAGAGGTCCGTGGAGCAGTGGCAGAGGCATCGGTGTGGTTTCCCCCCCCCTCGTATGTGTTGTCTCCGGGTGTGGGCTCGGACCCGGGGTCCGTCTTTGTGCTGTCAGGCCTTCGGCCCTACGGGGATGCCCAGGGCGCTTGGTATGTGGATCCGATGGCGACCATTGTAGGGCATGCGACCTGCAACACGTATGCAGGCATGATGAATGTGGTGCACGTGATTTCGCCCACATCATAAGTCAAGGTTGCATTTTGCCACGTTGGCGCGTGTGCCCTGCAAGTGTTGGTAGGTCATGCCGCTAGGCGTTCTTCGCTAATCCGTTAGCAGGGATATGATTAACTACATGCTGCACTCACCATATGGGTTGTTGACCGAAATGGCAAGATATAGCTAAGTAGACTAACTCAAGTTCTGCTAACAAGCTTAGCAACGTGTGCGCCACCAGTTTTCGGAGCAACGGAGCGCCTGTGTCGTAAGGTGTGGCGCAGGTTTCGCGCAATAGGCAGTGTGGCTCGGTCCAACCGAGTCCTGCTGCAAACTGTGAACTGAGACCATTGGCGTCTATATTCGATGTTCGGTTTTCTTGAGACTGTGCCCTTGCCGCCTTCTGTTAGTGCCAGCCCATAGCAATGTTAGCGGCACAGGGATCACTTCTAAAGAGCCACACGATTAGTCATCAGTTATGTTGCGTACTCGTTCCTTGTATTGGGTTGGTCATGTCAACGGCCGAAAGCTTAACAGAACACCTGGATGATGTTGCGCCGCAGAGAGACAGTTTCTGATTCGTTCGCCCGCCACAAGTGGTTCCTCAGATGCCACTGCCATACCAGCGGCGGTTGCACATATCGAAGCCTAGTTGGAAGGAAAACAAGCCGGTTTACATTCACACCAGGTTTCCGAACTATTTTGCGTGTCAGCCAGGCAGCCTTCGAACAGTTGACGTGGAAGTGGGCGGCGTCCGCGATATACAATCTTACATGTTACGTGATGGAATTAACGGGCGATGAGGCAGGTCAGCAGATTGTTGTGAGGTTTGTTCAAACACTAACGTATTCAACAATCATTTCCAATTCAATAGCATCTTAATTGAGCGTAGTGGTGAGTCCTTGGCGTATGTGAGCGAACACGTCATGCAATGCCTAGACGTCGTTTGCTCGCCCTTTCTGCAGGGACTTCGGTGCATCATGTTTGGCAGCCAGGGCAATGGCCCTGACATTGTCGATAAATCTGACAAAATAGTCCAAGAGATAACCTTCACAGCCTGCCCCCCCCCCTCCGAAGGACGGCCGGCTCGCTCACTCCCACCCGCTTTCCCGCCGCATACGTACCACCCGAGTCTCAGGCTGGGCAGGGGCTGTATCGACAATCATCGGGCACCACTGCACATGCCAACCATGTGCAAGGCACCCGCAAGGTGCGCCGCGCGTGCCAGGACACCCACATCGCTCCTGTCAAATAACACTGCAGAGTGATCATGGGGAGCCCGCGCATGATCAAGGTTTTGCCGCAAATCTTGTGTTCGCACTGATCTTCGACAGGGATGATTGGCCTGCGAGCAGCAGGCAAGATGCTGCCACACCCTTTCCTGGCAAACGAAACCACACTGCGAAACGATCCCTTGGCGCCCGCGCATGGTCCAGATTTTGCTGCAAAGTTGTAATGTACGGTTTGTTGTCAGGGATGGCAGGGGAGATTGTTGGCATTGTCCCTGGTTTGTCGTCGGTCGGGTGGGCGATGGGGTGTTCACTAAACGAAGCAGAGGTAAAACCTTCTCCCGAAAGGGAAGAAGGGGTTGGAAACATATGCACCGTAGACCAGCTCTGCCCAGAGGACTGGCAGGATTGTGCAACACATCGCGCCCACTGTCATGCCATCGCCCACATCAAGTTGGCACATTACTCAGGCCTCTTGTTGCTGATGGGTTGGGTACGTCACAGGAGAGGCATGTTTTTTTGTTTTAATGCTGTGCCTATACAGCAGCTTGTGCAGAGCAGGAGCAGTTCTCCGCCCCTTGTCGTGCCTCCTGGAGCCTTCCGTCGCCACGGCGGGGTTCCCCCTCGAGATCTTTGTCGGGGCGCACCCCAGGGTGGGTCCCGGGGACGACGACGGGGACGGCGGCGACGACGACGACGACGACGACGACGACGGCGGCGGCGGCGGCGGCGGCGGCGGCGGCGGCGAGGGCGACGGCGACGGCGACGGCGACGGCGACGGCGGCGGCGACGACGACGACGACGAGGACGACAGCAAGGACGAAGAGGACGACGAGGGCGAGGGCGACAGACGACGACGACGAAGGCGACGACGGGATTGGCCTGGCGCTGCCCTCCTCCAAGGCGGCCGCTGCGGCGCCGGGTTGGACAGCTTCCTGCCGCGCGGCTGCGTGCTGAAGAACACCGCCTGGGTGCTCGGCATGTCCGTCTACGTGGGCGCCGTGGGAAAGGGGGGCCCCCCGCCTCCCCTCTCAAACTCCTCCTCCTCCTCCTCCTCCCATGCTCCTCCTCCTCCTCCTCGTCCTCCTCCTCCTCCTCCTCCTCCTCCTCCTCCTCCTCCTCCTCCCCTCCCCCTCTTTCCTCCTCATCCTCCTCCCTCCTCCTCCTCCCTCCTCCTCCTCCTCCTTCTCCTCTCCTCCCCCCTCCTCCTCCTCCTCCTCCTCCTCCTCCTCCTCCTCCTCCTCCTCCTCCTCCTCCTCCTCCTCCTCCCCCTCCTCCCCCTCCTCCTCTTTCTCCTCTGGGGGGGTGGGGGCGCGATCCTCCGAGGTCTCTGTCGGGATGCCACCAGCCTGCGTGCAGATCGCCCGCCGTGGGGGCGACGGGGAGGAGGAGGAGGAGGAGGCAGATGAGGCGGAGGACGACGACGGCGACGGCGAGGCCGCGAGGCAAGATGAGGGGAAGGATGACAAGACTCGATGAAGAAAACACGGCAGAAGCATACAAGTTTGGCGTTCCGCGCGGGTTTCTCGGATCCGCGATGGGCCCCTCTTCTTCTAAAGACGAGGGGAAGGATGACAAGACGACGGCGTCAGCCACGACGACGGACACCGAAGAGCCGCGAGGAGGCGGGAGCTCGGGCGCACACCTGGCCGAGGCAGTGTCCCCCGCGGCCGCTCTGGACGTGTCCTCGGGTTGGCTGCCGCGTGCCAGTCTGTAGCTGGAGCTGGCGCGACCTGCCCGGAGGCTCCTACAGTCAGAACTCATAAGAAGGACGCACGGCTGTCCTCGGGGTACACTTGCGTGCCAGCCTCTGCGGCCCGCCCTTCGCGGTTGTCATTGGCCAGCTCTTAAGGGTGTCGGCAGCCCGCCGCCCAAAAAGTGGCAACTTCGGCGTCCAAGGTCCTTGCGCCCTTGCCGCCCGTCCTTACTGTAGATTGCGCCTGTAATGGCATGCGGCCAGACAACACCACTGCGCCGCAGCCCGTGGATCTTCGTGCTCCTCCAGCCTGCCCCCACTCGAGCAAGAACCAGGAGGGGGAAAACACAGGCAGAATCCATCTCGGAAGATATAGGAACAGATATATGGGAAGTGGGGGGGAATGCGAACACTCCCAGAAGATGGGGGAATCCTGGAATTTGGGTTTATCTATTTTGCGTGTCCCTGGGCTCGGCGTCACCCCAACATACTTACACGATATGCGCGTCGCCCCCCAGGGGCGACGCGCGCACCGAGACATCTTGTAGTATATGCGTCTTGGCGGGCGCTTGCTGGCCACACCGCTGGGGACACGAGATACCACAAGATGGGTATACTGTATGTCCGGGTTGGACTCGCTCCTCCGAGGAGAAAATATAGTACCGGTATGTCTTTGTGCGTCCCACGGGCCCCTCTAAAGAGAGGGCTGTATGACAGATCCACTTTCGGAGGTCTTCGCAGATCTCCTGGACTGGCGCCGGAGCCGCCCGGCGGGCGCGCCTCCAGCGCCGCCCCCGGCGAGAGGGGTCGAGCGCAGCTCCAGGAAATCCACGCGGAGCCCCGACCGTTTTGCACACTGGTCGTTGGAAGTGGGTATTTTTGGATTCCCAGAGATCCAGCGTATGGGAAACATCATGACGGAGGTTTTTCGCAAATTTCGGCCCTTAGGGGCCCTCGCCGGGCCTCGGGAGCGTCAAAAAACGCCTCGGGATGAAAAACCGGTCCTGGGGAATGAGTCGAGATTTCTCGGGACCTCGAAAAATAATCACGACATCCGATGCTTGGGTTCCCGTAATTATCCCAATCCTTGTTTACGTGCTTTGTTATTTCAATGGTCGAGTGGTTTCCCCTCTTCCCGCCTCCTCAGGGGGCGGGCGGAGCCCAATCTGCTTTCAGCGCATGCCTGCTTCATGCTTCTGCCTGCTTCTTCCGACCGTTGGAGATGCCTGCGCTGTTGTCTGCTCTACCTTGGTCTTTGGTTGTGAATCCTCCCTCCTCCTTTTCGTCGTCCTCCTCCTCCTCCTCCTCCTCCTCCCTCCGCCTCCTCTTCCTCCCTCCGCCTCCTCCTCCTCCTCTCCCTCCTCCTCCTCCTCCTCCCTCCTCCCCCTCGTCGCTCCTCCTTCTCCTCCTCCTCCTCCTCCTCCTCCTCCTCCTCCTCCTCCTCCTCCTCCCCCTCCTCCTCCTCCTCCTCCTTCTCCTCCTCATCATCATCCTCCTCCTCCTCCGCCTCCTCTCCTCCTCCTCCTCCTCCTCCTCCTCCTCTTCCTCCTCCTCCTCCTCCTCCCCCTCCTCCTCCTCCTCCCCCTCCCTCCCTCTCCCCCTCCTCCTCCCTCATTCTTCCCTCCTCCCTCCTCCCTCCTCCCTCCCCCCCCCTCCATGTGAGAATTTTGGCCTCTGCTCGGCCTCGCCCTGGGGAGGCCCCGAGACCAAGCTGCGCCTGAACGCCGCGGAGGCGCCGACCAAGGCGCCACCGCTGGCCGCCACCGCCAGCCGCCGCCGCCGCAGACGCGCCGCCGCTGCGCCTGCCATGGCATCGTCGTTGCCATTGATCGGGAGGGGGAAAAACCTCGAGATCCAACGCATTGAAGAAATCAATACGCAGGTTCTTCGCACATTTCGGCCTTTAGGGGCCCTCGCCGGCCTCGGGACCGTCAAAAAACGACTCAGGATGAAAAACCGGTCCCGGGGAATGGGTCGAGACTTCCGGGGACCCCGTATTGAAAAAAGCTCGGATTTATGGAGACGGAGACACAATTCATCGTCGATTCCCACGAACATGCGGGAAATTATGGGAAATGGAGGGGGAGACGAAAACCCTGAACAGATGGGAGAATATAGGGGATCCTGGGATTCGTGTCGATGTATTTGTGCATTCCTTGGCCCCTTCCATTGAGGCCGTCGCCGCCGCCGCCGTCGCAGCCGACGCCGCCGCTGTCTGCCGCCGCGCCGACATCCTGCGGCGCCCTCGTACACGCCGTGGCGCCGCCGCCGTCGTCGCCGCCGTCCTCGTCGCCGCCGTCGTTTTCCGAGCCAGAAGCCCGAAGGAGGAAAAGGAGGAGAAGGAGGAGAAGGAGGTGGAGGAGGATGAGCAGGAGGAGGGGGAGGAGGACCAGGAGCGGGAGTAGGAGGAGGAGGAGGAGGAGGAGGAGGAGGAGGAGGAGGACGAGGATGAGGAGGAGAGGAGGAGGAGGAGGAGGAGGAGGACGAACAAGAAGAAGAGGTGGAGCAGGAGCAGGAGGGAACAAGGAGGAGCAGGGAGGAGGAGGAACGAGGAGGAGGAGAAAGGGAGGAGGGAGAGGGAGGGAGGGAGGGGAGAGGCAGGAGGAGGGGGAGGAGGAGGAAGAACAGATGGGGAGGAGAGGAGGAGACAGCAGCAGGAGGACGAGGGGAGGAGAAAGGAGGAGGAGGAGGAGCAGGGGGAGAACGAGAAGGAGGAGGAGGAGGCGGAGGCAGAGGCGGAGGTGGAGGTGGAGGCGGAGGCAAAGGCCGAGGCGGAGGCGGAGGCGGAGGAGGAGGTGGCGGCGGCGGCAGAGGAGGAGGAGGAGGAGGAGGAGGAGGAGGAGCAGGAGCAGGAGCAGGAGCAGGAGCAGGAGCAGGAGCAGGAGAGGGAGCAGGAGCAGGAGCAGGAGCAGGAACAGGAGGAGGAGGAGGAGGAGGAGGAGGAGGAAGGGGAGGAGGAGGAGGAGCAGGAAGAGGAGGAGGAGGGGGAGGAGGAGGAGGAGAGGGAGGAGGAGGAGGAGGTGGAGGAGGATTGTCACGGCTGTCGTTCAAGGCACGGGTAATGTTTTACCGCTTCGTGCCCTAACAATGGTGGCACGCCATGTTCTGGATGCAACACTTGTGAAGATGCGGCTACTACCACGCCTATGCTGTGCAACACTCGCGCCAATGCCCTCCACTGCGCGGCCTATGACCGCCCATGGCCTACACGCGGGCCCTTTGCACGGTGGCTGGTAAGCCCCCCACCCCCATGCCTGACATTGCCACCTATGCCCCGCGTGCAACTGCGGAGACCCCAGGCTTGCTACGGCCTACTATGGTCTGCGAACTATCAACATGTCAAAGCATGAACCTACCTGACTGTTTGGTATGCCATGCTAGTTCAAGTGGGATGCAACCTGGAATGCACGAGTAAAGTCCCCCACGGCTGCGAAGCAGGATGGTTTACAACCGCCTGGCCTCTTCCCAGAGGAGGGCCACCCCACGACTGTGAAGCACACGTAGCTGCCCCGTGCCAATCCCCGTACTCCCATGGATGCAACACTTGTGAAGATGCGGCTACTACCACGCCTATGCTGTGCAACACTCGCGCCAATGCCCTCCACTGCACGGCCTGTGGCCACCCATGGCCTACACGCGGGCCCTTTGCACGGTGGCTGGTAAGCCCCCCACCCCCATGCCTGACACTGCCACCTGTGGCCCGCGTGCAACTGCGGAGACCCCAGGCCTGCTACGGCCTAATAAGGTCTGCGAACTATCAACATGTCAAAGCATGAACCTACCTGGCGACTCCTCCACGACGTGTCTGGGGCACGGGGCAAAAAGCACGAGGAGGAGGAATAGGATGAGGAAGAGGAACAGTAGGATGAGGAGACCAAATAACGCAATACCAGACAAGAGACGCCTCTTCCGTACCAAAACGACCACCCTTCGGGTGATAAGGAGGTTCCGGGGGGGGGGGAGTAACCAGCGCGCACGAACACGAAACCGAAACCGATTTCCCGGTAGGGGGGCTCTCCGTTCCACTTCGATCTCTCCCCCTCACCTCCGATTTACATGGGACATCCTCCAATGCGCGGGGATTGCGTGTCCCATAAAAGGGACTGCGCGTCCCATTTGCCAGGACTGTGTGTCCCATAATCGAGACTGCGCGTCCCATTTGCCAGGAATGTGTGTCCCATAGCAGGGACTGCGCGTCCCATTTGCCAGGGCTGCGTGTCCCATAACAGGGACTGCGCGTCCCATTTGCCAGGACTGTGTGTCCCATAATCGAGACTGCGCGTCCCATTTGCCAGGAATGTGTGTCCCATAGCAGGGACTGCGCGTCCCATTTGCCAGGACTGCGTGTCCCATAACAGGGACTGTGCGTCCCATTTGCCAGGACTGTGCGTCCCATAATCGAGACTGCGCGTCCCATTTGCCAGGAATGTGTGTCCCATAGCAGGGACTGCGCGTCCCATTTGCCAGGACTGCGTGTCCCATAACAGGGACTGTGCGTCCCAGTTGCCAGGACTGTGCGTCCCATAATCGAGACTGCGCGTCCCATTTGCCAGGAATGTGTGTCCCACAGCAGGGACTGCGCGTCCCATTTGCCAGGGCTGCGTGTCCCATAACAGGGACTGTGCGTTCCATTTGCCAGGACTGCGTGTCCCATAACAGGGACTGTGCGTCCCATGTGCCAGGATTGTGCGTCCCATAATCGAGACTGCGCGTCCCATTTGCCAGGAATGTGTGTCCCATAGCAGGGACTGCGCGTCCCATTTGCCAGGACTGCGTGTCCCATAACAGGGACTGTGCGTCCCATTTGCCAGGACTGTGTGTCCCATAGGGAGGAGGAGGAGGATGTTTTCGGCTGTCGTTTAAGGCGCGGGTCAAGTGTTACCGTAGCGCGCCCTAACAAAAAGGGAACATGACCGTCAACCTAATGAAGCGAAGCGGCGGCGGCAGCGGCCAGCCTCACTGTATATGCCGTACCCCGACCGCTATTACTCGGGTGCTATGTAATCTACCTACGGATGCCTACCAGGCGAGACGCGGCCCTCGACTGTGAAGCCCGTTATATGGAATGCGCCACCGTCCTCCTTCTGGAGGGGGGCCGCTCCACGACTGTGACGCCCGCTTAACTACCCTACTCTCATCCTCCCTCAACAGGAGGGCCGCCCCACGACGGTGAAGCCTTATTATCGCCAAACTCTTACCTTTGCCCTTCGCTGTCGCTTGTCCCCCCACCACGAAATGGCAATTCATCCTTTCCCCCAAACGGTTCCTCACTTGCAGATTCCCAGTCCATGAAGGGTGCTGCGTTAAATTGGGGTGCCAAGGGGGTCACGCTCCCAGCCCCTTAGTCCGAGGGGTCTGGGCCCTTCTGCCCCCTACAAGTGTGAACCCTACATGGTGCATACGGTCTCCGTTGCTTCTCTACCCCCCTGGCGTGGCTGGGGACTGGCATTCGCCCCAGCCCACGCTCTGATTCTAGCCCTTCCCTAACCCCCTCAGGCGGTTACTCTTTGTGCTGGGTGGGCACTTGAACGTGCCTCTTGCCACTGTCGCCCCGCTGTTCACTCCCCTGGGGGCTCTGCTGGGGTGCTCGTCGGGCGTGGGGAATCCACGCCCTTAGTGGCGCCCCGTGCGTCCCCAGCCGACTCCCCCAGAGGAGTATAGAACAGCATTGGCACGGGGGGAGAAGGAGGAGGAGGAGGAGGAGGAGGAGGAGGAGGAGAGGAGGAGGAGGAGGAGGAGGAAGAGGAGGAGGAGGAAGAAGGAGGAAGGGGAGGGGGAGGGAGGGGGGAGGGGGGGAGGGAGGTGGGCCGGGGGCCGGGACGGCCGGGAGGGGGGAAGGGGGCAGGGCAGGAGCAGGGGGCAGGGGGAGGGGGAGTGGTGAGGGGGGAGGGGGAGAAAGGAGGAAGGTGTGAAGAGGGGGAGGCGGCAGGAGAGGAGGAGGAGGAGGAGGGAGGAGGAGGAGGAACAGGAGGAGGAAGGGAGTTAGAAGGAGGAGCGCAGCAGGAGGAGGAGGAGACGAGGACGAGGAAAGAGGACGAGGACCGAGAGGAGGACGAGACTAGGAACGAGGAGGAGGAGGAGAGGAGGAGGAGGAGGGGAGGAGGAAGGAGAGGTGTCCGACATGCAGCGGCTGCTCAGCCTCTCCGTGGTGGGGCTGCTCTGCGGGCTCTTTGCCCTGTGCCTCGCGTCCCGCCGCGGCTCCCGCCTCATTACCGCCGCTCTCGCCCTGGAGTCCCGCACGTCACATCCTTCTCCTCTTCTTCCTCCTCCTCCTCCTCCTCCTCCTCTCCTCCTCCTCCTCATCATCATCATCATCATTCATCATCATCATGCCCTCCTCCTCCCTCCCTCCCTCGCCTCCCTCCTCACTCCTCCATCCCTCCCCTCCACTCCTCCTCCCCTCCTCCCTCCTCCCTCCCCGTCCCCCGTCCTTCTCCCTCCTCCCTCCTCCTCTCCTCCTCGTCCCCCTCTCCTGCTGCTCCTCCTACTCACTCTCCTCCTCAACCTCCCTCCTCCTCCCGTCCTCCTCCTCCCTCCTCCCATCCCCCTCCTCCCTCCTCCTCGTCCCCCTCCTCCTACTGCTCCTCCTCATCCTACTCCTCCTCAACATCCTCCTCCTCCTCCTCCCCTCCTCCTCCTCCTCCTCTTCCTTTTCCTCCTCCTCCTCCTCCTCATGTTCCTCCTCCTCCTCCTCCTCCTCCTCCTCCTCCTCCTCCTCCTCCTCCTCCCGCCTCATTTCCGCCG